AAAACAAAAGATAACCCGTCTCATAATACAACACTATCACAAGAAATTCCTTCACGGAAACACTGCTACAGTAATGAACGAGATTCGTCAAAGGTTCTGGATCCTGGGCTTAAGAGCGACCCTAAAGGCAGTTGCACACAGCTGTCAATGGTGCAAGACAAAGAAGAGTTCACCAGAGATACCCCCGACGGGAGACCTACCGAGCGAGAGACTACAGCATCATCAGTTTCCGTTCTCTTGCACGGCCGTAGACTACTTTGGGCCGATGCACGTCACCATTGTAAGAAGAACTGAGAAGCGCTGGGGGCATTATTTACCTGCCTCACTACTAGAGCAGTACATCTAGAGCTAGTACCTTATCTCAGCACGAGCTCAATGATCATGGCTCTCCGACGAATGGCAGCCAGAAGAGGGACCCCGAAAACCATATTTAGTGACAACGGAGCCAACTGTGTCGGGGCCAAAAGGGAATTAGAAGAGGCTGCACAAGAGAAAGGCATCAAGTGGAAGTTTATTCCTCCGGAAGCTCCGAATATGGGAGGCGTCTGGGAGAGACTCGAACGAACAGTCAAGACGGCGCTAGCAGTAGTTCTCAACGAGAGAAGCCCGCCCGAAGAAGTACTCCATATACTACTGACCGAGGTTGAACACATCGTCAATTCTAGACCACTCATCCCGCTTAGCATGGACCCAGAAGACGAAGAGAGCCTAACACCGAACCATTTTCTGCTGGGAAGACCATGCGGAGCAATGGCGCCGGGAGAATTCAGTGACACAGAGCTGATCGGGTAAGGCAAACTGGAGGACCACTAAAAGGCTCGCAGACCACTTCTGGAAAAGATGGATCAAAGAATATTTACCTCTCCTGATGCCAAGGAAACTTGAGAAGAGAGAGACTAAAAACCCAAGAGAAGGAGACATTGTGCTAATAGTGGACGCTACGTTACCAAAATTCATGGCCTCGCGGAGAAGTTATCAAGACCTATCCCGGACCAGACGGAAGAACCAGAGTGCTGGACGTGCGGACATCGGGAGGGATACTTCGCTGCCCAACTCGACGGTTCATCGTGCTGGTACCAGCGGAATCGTCGCCTCCGGAAGATGAAGTGCTACGCACCGTGGGGGAGAATATTAGCGACGAAAAGTGAATCTAATTGCTTATTTCCATTTTATTCTTATTTGTGATCAGAAACTACGTAAAGACTGTTAGTGTTAGTAATGAAAAGTGAATCTAATTACTATTTTAACTTCATTCTTATTTGTAATCTAAAAAACTACATTAGAAATGCTAGCAACGAAGTGCAAATTTAATCACTTGTTTAATTCTGTTTTATTGTAATTTAAAAACTACGACATTACGTGATTTAACTACTTGTATAATTTCGTTTTCTATTATAAAATAGATCTTAGTCAATAAGAAAATTTAAATGTATTCTGCATAAAGTCTTAAGATTAAGCGTAATGTTGTTATCACGATAAGCATTGTGCGTTCCTGCCGTCTGGCGGCGCTACGTGTATTTAACGCAGGAAAAAGCTTAGGTAGCTAATAGGGAGCTATACCGTGAGAAAACCGCTCCAGTATTAGCTACTAGGGAGCTATACCGTGAGAAGACCGCTTCAGAATTTTATTTATTAAAAGTGTAAAATAAGGATTTTAAGGATTTTTAATGTTTAAGATGGCAAATATAAACTAGTTCTAATATCAGAAATATATAAAAACATTGTAAGGGATGAGCTAATTCTTAAAAATATTCAATAATTATTATTGTAAACAATAAAAAACCGTCGTGGCATTTCCAAGCCAATTATTTGCGCATTGCGCATGCGCGACAGAATAAAGGTGAAACTCACATCATCAACTGCAGATCAGCTGATGCTACACGCACGGAAGGAAGTTATTATATAGGGGGATGCCCATTTTCGGCCATGGAATGCATTTGCGCTAAGCAAGGGCAATTTTTTCACGCTTGGTAGAGTAAAAAATAATAATTTTTCAAAGAGATATGGCTATTTTAAGTAGAGAAAAATTGAAAATTATATTTCAATTTTTCCTGGGAAAACGAAAAACGGGCTTATAAATTAATGAACGTAGGTCGAAAGGGCTAATTGAGATCTATAAAATGAGATTTTTTATTTTGAAATTTTAATATCTGCAGGCTGGAACGTGTCCTGTCAAAGGTCTGGCAATACGAGCGCGAGTGGTTGACCACATATTCGCGCAAACGCAGTCTGAGTCGAGCGCTTGTTACGGAAGCGCATCACGTGTCATTTAAAAATCATAAATAGTGTGCCTACCACCGTCATTCAGCCTAATTATCAAATGAGTAAATAATAACAGTTTCAACATCCATTGTTTTGCAAACACGAGCGACCTAGTGCGGAGCGTCGAGATTAATTGCGCGAGTAGAGCAGTGTGTAGTCAGATAGGGCAACATCGCGGCAGCTCGAGGAGCAGGGCGATGAGCACAGTGTGGCCGAGCCATTACACTTTTGCAAATTTCGTAGAGAATGTACTGTTTAAAGCAAAGAAGCTCCAATAAAACGTAAAATCATTTTATTATTCGTAAGAAATTTTAATGTGTAATTATCAACCCCATGACTTCGATAATACTCGAGAATATTTAATTCCTAGTGGGAAGCTACGAGTGTCTAAATATAAAAAAATAAATTTAAATGAGAATATTTAATTCCTAGTGTCGATTTTGTCGGCAAATAAGGTGATGGATTCAGTATTCTGGGACTCGAAAGGTGTGATTATGATTGATTATCTTGAAAGGGGTCAGACTATATAAACTCTGATTACTACTGCACCTTACTACGTCGTTTACGAGAGGAAACAAAAGAAAAACGTCGAGGAATACTCAGAAAAAAGTCCTGTTTCATCAAGATAACGCCCGTGTTCACACGTCAGTACAGTCAATGGCTGAAATTCACAACTGTGGCTTTGAACTGTTACCGCATCCGCCGTATTCACCTGATCTGGCACCATCAGACTTCTTTCTGTTCCCTAACCTAAAAAAGCACTTGGGAGGTCAAAGATTTTCGACAAACGACGAGGTCAAAGCAGCTGTAGACGCATATTTTGACTCTAAGGAAGAATCATTTTTTTTCAACGGTCTAAATGCTTGGAAGGGGAGGTGGCAAAAGTGTATTGAACTTGATGGTGATTATGTAGAAAAATAAAAATATAACTGATTTAGTATGTGTTTATTTTCTTGGTTAGGCCGAGTACTTTTCAATCCACCCTCGTATTGTAATGGGTCCAATTTCGCAAATTGGAAATTTTAACATATCTCCAAGTTTCAAGGTCTTTAGAGTCGAATAGTATGTTTTTAAGAGGATGTCGGTGTGTGCACATGTACGTATGTATGTATGTGTGTATGTATGTTCGGATTCAATTTTCGCCTCGTGTATCTCGAGAACAAAGAGTAATATTGACATGGGTCCAGTTTCATTTAACGCATAACTATGTAACTTAAACCTCATTAAATTTTGAGCAAAATCGGTCAATTCGTTTTTTGTGCATGATGCATTTTTGTGAATGAAAAATTGTATAAAATATTAAAACATTTGATATTTTTTATTCAAACCAATAGGAAGTTAGTCGTGTGGACTTTTCTGGTTGCACCTAGACTGCTTTTTGATTTTATTATCCCATAAAAAATGCCAAAATTAATCAATACATCGGTCAATGATATTTACAAAATAATTCATTTTCAACCGACTTCCAAAAGAAAGAGGTTCTCAATTCAAGTGTATTTTTTGTATATGTATGTTACGTGATATCTTCGCAGATTGTGAACCGATTTTAACGATACTTTTTTATTAAATATGCTTTACCTCAAGAGTGCTTCCATTATATTTTGAAGAAAAAAATTCCGCCCCTAAAGATGGTAAATAGCAAATAGGAGAAAAAGTTTAATATTGCGTTATTGCTTAAGGAATTTATTTATTCTTTTTAATAAATAAATTTCTTAAGCAATAACGCAATATTAAATTTTTCTTTTTTTTCTTATATATGATATACTTCAAGGGCTTTCTCATATAAATTTGGTGAAAAAATTTCACCTTAAATGTTGCAAATAAAAAACTTCTTTTTTAGCAATTTGAAGTCGGTTTTACTTTTTGTTAAAAGTTATAATTATTTAAGTGTACCTTGAAAGTAAAGTCAAAACTTTGATATGGAGGTACACCATAACTTCTTAACCTTTTTAAAACAAAAAAATTATAACAGGGTGTAACTTTACGTGATAGAGCCATGCTGCAGTTATATTAGTAGTATAGTTGTAGCACAAATGGGTCAGCTCGAATGGGGAAGGACCACGCTCTCACAGAATACCAGCGTGAAATAGTAGCTTAATGCTGCTGTGTTTCGTATGGTGAGTGTAGAGAACCGAAGACCCTTTTTACTGGAAACGAGACTTTCCATCTTAGTCCTCACGGGTGATAACGCGTCTGCATTTTGATTCGTAATCGAGGATAGATATAGATGTCTATAGGTCCCAGCAACCACTTACCATCAGGTGGACTGTGTGCTCGTTTGTCACCCTATCCTATAAAAAGGGGATTACAAGAAACACCGGTCCAATAAATTTTCTTTTAATAATATTTAAAATCGATATAACAAATCTTACGATTTAATTTAACAACACAAATAAGCGGCAGCGTTAAGTAATAAGTCAATGAGTTCTTTGACCGTTTAATTCTTCGCATCTTGATGAGGACAATTGTATGTACAACACTTGTGTATTATTTTTACACCTATAGCTAAAGGTGGGCTAATAATTATAACATCAAGATTATGAACACTTCAATCTCTCCATGACCTTAGATGCAAATCATTCGAAACTTTTTACAAAACAAGTTTAAATTAAACGTGACAAACTCCATAAAATAAATTCAGTCAAGTTGTTTTTTAAAGTGAAAGTTGAAATTCTAGCTAAGTCTAAACATCTCAGTCTAAACATTTCAGTGCCTTTAATTTGTCCTAATATTTTTAGCGACGGCAAGGTTCGTCAGGAGCGGGCCTACAACTTCGACTTTTTCAACTACGCGGGCATACATCGCACAGTTTTCTTGTACTCAACACCGCAGCAATATATTGATGATGTCATAGTGAACACTGATATACAAGGATTGACAGGTAAATAACATAAGTATTTACGAGTAATCTGTATAATAGGACGAATAAAGTGCTTAAGAAATAGTCTACATACTCGTACTTTCTAACTATGAGAACACTACTATTAGACAGGAAAGAGCTTGCTCAATAATAAAAGTTTTTTTTTTTGTTACTTAAATGAGCACTTAAAACTATGATTAACAATTTGAATGTAGGAGCAGCGATGGCTGATCGAATTAAGGTTGCTGATAAAATGCTACTTTTTATCACTTGTTTTTATAATTGAATTAATTGTTGTAAAAACATTGAATAAAACTTATTTTCACGGATCTTATCGCGTTTAAGTTATTTTTAATTCCCAACGTTTAAAGTGCTGTACAGCACCAGGGGGCCACAGGCAGCATTTAAAATAAATTTTTATATTATTATTTTTTATTTAGTGCGTTAAATTCCTACGTTAAATTTAGTTTTATTCAATTGGTACTTTTAATTAAAATGAAAAGAGTAGTGAAGGTGTAAGAATATCTACTTCCATATATCTCAGACACACATACGCACTCACACCCACACATCCGCACATACACACAACAACAATAAACAACACATCAAACAGTACGTAGCAGTAACCGCTATAAACTAATATTAATTAAGGAATAATGAATCATCTTATGCACTTGCCGAATATAGACCTAGAAGCCTAGAACTAAGAATTAGGGAAGGCACTATTTCCTGAGATACAGGTGATAACCTAGTTCAGGAGACAAAGCTCCTTTGTATTTAGACATATTTGGTTGCTAATAAACGTTATTTATTTATGTATTTATGTATATCGTCCCGTGGGTGTCGTAAGAAGCGATAGCGGGAAATCAAACCAGTAGATGGGCAGCAGAATTTTTCCCATGATAACAACTCAAGACAATTGGATTATTTTGAGGAGGACAATTGGATAATATCGAGGATTTTGCAACAAAAAAGGAAAAAGTGGCAACCATGACAAAATCCTCCTGATGAGGCTATCTGTGGGAAAGGCCTATGTTCAGCAGTGGACCTTTATAGGCTGTAATGGTTTATCTATTATGGATGGATGGAATTAAAATAAAAACTAGCTTTCTTATCTACAGCAGAATTTATTTCATTGAATCATATCATGATCATATCATCGTTAATGCGATAAATAGCTGAGATAAAACAATCAAAGCTATTTGTAAAATGCAAATTGATAAAAAAACCTCTACTTATATAATGCCTGTACTGGAATGGAAACATTCATTGCTGTTATAATTACGAGATGATATCAATATTCCGCCAGTAGTACAATGACGAGGTCTACAGTAACTAACAGTCCGACCTTTTTTACGTTGCAACTCGTGTCGTTCGTAATGTAAGGGATTGATTTATTTTTGATAATATTAACAAAAAGATTTAAAGGTTTAATTCATATGAATATCTTTCGATATTAACCACTCCAAGCAAGATTTAAATATGTACATATATTATGACAGTAGTCGAATTACAGAATAATAACCCCTGGGAAGGTTGATCGCTACCAAGCTATTTCTAATTTGTATTGTGTTCTTAATTGTAAACATGATTATAAGTTATTATTTGAAAAAAAAAATAGTCCCGCTGGGTTTCTTGCTGGTTCTTCCCAGGACAGAGGTTTTTTTTGCGAACCAGTGGTAAATGAAAAAATTGACTTTCAATAAGTATTGTTTATAATCTACATTGAATAAAAAAGTTTCTGTTTCTGTTTCTGAACTCACGACCCTTTCCTTCATTAGGCTACGTCGCCCAATTATTTTTGTATCATCAACATTTATAATTTGAAAGTAACATCCAGTTACACAAAATACTTCTAATCAGCGAAATTTCGTCAAAATACTATCGAAAGCAAATTTGTGTTTAAGGGGAAATATAACCTCAAATGGCTTAGCAAGATCCTCCGTTACGCCGAAAATATTGCAGCATTAATTTTGAAATAAATATATGGTAAAGTTGAGGATTAATATTAAGGACTATGTTAGACGAAAACACGATTCCGTAAAATTTTCTCGATAGAAAAAAAAATCCAAAGTTACCTCCAAAATAAACAATAAACCGCTGTTATTCGTAAAATATTTTAAATAAGATCGTGAAACTTTGCATACTAACTGAACTAACTATAAAGCAGTGCTTATGTTATTTAATTTTTTTAAATACCATTATTTTTCACTGTAAAAAGAAATTACCTAAACTATCGGCGTAATGAAACTTGATTCCTGCTTTGAAGGGGGAGGTTGTGTCGCTGACGATCAGAATACATATTACGCAACAGGACGACGTAAAATTAAAATGGGAAATAACCGTAATAAAAAAGAAGCGACTGGGTTGGCGTTAAGAAACAGGCATAAATATGATAAACATAATGAAATAAGTATCCAACGACCTATCTACTTACATTATTAGTGATTACAAACATGTCGGTACATAGCATACGACGCGCAGGGAAGTGGGGGCGAAATTAGAATTTGAGCTGACTTACTATATCCCCTTAAGCTGCAATAAACAACGAAAATGTACTTTTTTTTTACGGAACGGAAATTTACTAATTCTTTTTGTAAATCGTACTATGTACCGTATCGTGTCATTGAATGAAAAGTTGATACCGAGGCTGCGCTAGGATCTTACTTTATTTTTTTTTGAACAAGGTTGACAAGCGAGCACACAGCCCACCTAATGGGAAGTGGATGCTGTAGTCCATAGACATCTACATCCTTTTAAAACATAATTTTTTTTGGAATAAGGTTAACAAGCGAGCACACAGCCCACCTGATTGGAAGTGGATGTTGTGATCCATAGACATCTACATCCTTTTAAAACATAAAATTGATTTTACTAAAAGCATTTTCCAAAAGGCTACTATTGCTCTGTGAGCACTCTATCGCAGAAATACAATCCAGCAGGCACATTCTAGACCTGCCTATGCTCCAGCTTTGATTATATGTGCATGTCGTGTGGTGACGGCGCACGAGTATCCACCAACCTATCTCATCCCCTGAACGTCGTAAGAGAAATAAATTCCAAGTATAATTATGGCGGTGTACAATCTCATATGCGAGATAATACATTACATTATATACACGCTTATTTATGGTAATAACGGAAAATTCTTCTTTCAATGGAAGAGGTCCATGTTCGATTGTGAAGTTTATACGATTTATAAGAGAAGTAAAAATCATCCGAAGTGCCAAGAATTATAAATAATTTTTAAAAAGGGATATAATCCGTAAAATATACTTAACAAAATTATAATGTTACCACAATTGGGTAATGTCTCTCATTTCGAAATCAATTTCTTTCCAGGATTTGTCGTATACAATGTCACACACCAAGGATCAAGCTTAGACAACGTGGAATGCCTGGTACAAATATTTGACAAAAACGACTCACAAGTCGCAGCATCGCACGACTGTGCCGGCCTCATTGAAATAGGCAACGCTAATTTCTGGTGGCCTTATTTGATGCATCCTTCTCCCGGTTATTTGTACACATTTAAGGTAAATTTTTCAATTAATCTTTTATGATAAAATTTGTGTGGGCTTTAATCGGTATTTTTGTTTTCATAAAATTTTTCTATTCAAGTTAGTTGTTACTTCCAATAAAAATTAGAAATAATAAAAGATGCAGAACATATTATACTTTTTTTTTAAATCCACTGCTGAACATACATCATATCTCCTCATACATTTTTCAAAGGGGGGATATTTGCTATAGTTGCCTTCCTAGGTATAAGGGTTGGCAACCGCAGTTTTTTTTTTGTTGCTATTACGGAGGCGCTGCTGTTCGTTTCCTGTTTCAGGTTCCCCGCTGGCGCCTCTTACGTCAGCCACGAGACGATAGGATTTTTTACATCGCCACTACACAGTATATTGCAGTAACACCAAATAAATCTCTTCCTGAAAAACTATGAAAATTTTCTATTTAAATATTCATGTAAAGTGGTGAAATATTCATAGGTAGTGTGACCAGTGGATTAGAACCAGGCAGGAAAGCTATAAAGAGGTCAAAAATGTCATATAAACAAGTAAATAATTTATTCAGGCTAGCCTGACCGGTCCCAACGGTGAAATAATAGATACGTACAACCTGAAAGTGGGCATACGAACGGTTACCTGGAGCAACACCAGCGTGTACATCAACGATAAACCAATATATCTCAGAGGTTTTGGCATGCACGAAGATTCAGATGTGAGTAAAATTGTGATCATTATTATTCTGAATGTAACTATTATTTATTTATTTATTTTTAATGTACTGCGGGATCCACACGTGTTTAAGTTTCTGTTTATCCAAAGACCGAAAAGCTTTTAGTGACAAGGTCGCCCATTGTATAACTCATTACGACAGTTATTTTTGTTTTTTGTTTTTTTTTTTTTGTTGAACATTAAATTTATATTTTTTTATAATTGTAAACTTATGGATAATATATATGCTTCTGCTGGAGACAATCCACAGTTCATAAAGCTTACTGACAAAATTCTGAGGAGGAAAAGTCCGCCGCGGCGTGTCCAAATGCGTGTGGCTGTCTTACATACCGGGTGATTTTTTTTACCGTCTGGAAAAATAGGGTGTAACAGGTGAATAGAATAGAACCTATGGCACTGATATTTTACATAAACATATTATGAAATTGATGAATCACAAAATACTACTAATTTGAAATAAACTTTCGGTACTAAAAAAATAACAACAATATTTTTGAACTAAATAAATAAATCAATTAAAAACTATCTAAATTAAAATAATACGTACCCAAGTAGTAGTATTTATTGATTGATCAATTTTATATTGTGTTAATTATAAATATTTTTTTTAAATATCAGTGCCATAGGCTTCTATTCCGTTCACCTGTTACACCCAATTTTTTCCAGACGGTTAAAAAATCATACAGTATTTAAATACTGTATGATTTTTTTGAGTTCTCTAAATATTTTTTCCCAATTACGCACGTTTCCTCACTATATTTTACTTCATTGCCGAACAGGTAATGAAATGAAGAATGGTAACTCACAACTTAAAATTATAATTCAACATTTAATTGCCGTCGGCAAGGATCGATCTTGCAGACTTACTTTAGATTTTCAATTATAGTTAACTCATTTAAATATTTTAACTTTATGAACATAACGTTCCATTTCCTTGTTTACTTAACAATCATATTATGGTAATAAAGCACTGTTGCTTAGTATAGATAACGATTTCATTTTTTTATCCAACAACATGCAACAATGGAGCAAAACATCGTCCATTGTTAATCATGTCTGATATCTTTTCAAGAATAATGGAACCTAGATCTTTCAATGGAAGGTAATTTTAATAAAATGAAATTGTAAATGAACTTGAATTAGGCGATAGACCTGAATTTCGTAGTCCGCTAACTTAACCATTCAAAATTTATGATATTTTAACATTAGGTAGTTCTTCTGATCAATGTCTATCTATAAAGTGGTAAGGAACAACTTCTGAATACTATCTAAAATTTTCTACTGCACAGAAAGTATTGTAAAAGTACATATCTCTCGTTCTGTATATGCATACCTACAACCACACGATAATAAATATACCTGGTAGAGCCACGCTGCAGCTATATTATGGATGTAGCACGAATGCGTCGGCTCGACCAGGGAAGCACCACGCTCTCACAGATAACCAGCGTATAATAGCAGCTTAATACCTGTGTTTCGTAAGGTAGGTGCAGAGATCCGGAGACCTTTTTTACTGGGAACGAGGTATTCCATCTTAGTCCCCAGGGGTGATAACGCATCTGCGTTTTGATTATTTATCTAGGCTAAATGTAGACGTCTATGGGCCATGGCATCCACTTACTAGGTGGATTATGTGCTCGTTTGTTACGCTTATTCTATAAAAAAACGATAAGATCGCAGTTAGGCAATGATAGGGGACTAGAAACACGGGGCTCGCTCATAAAACATAAACATCGTACACGTAAATTGGAGGGATTCCTTGTCAGAGTGGGAGTTCGTCAGCGTACATACCACCCTCTGAACCAAGTGCTTACATGATTCGATCATAAGAGTATTGTAGCGGCGTGCTGTCCGTCGCGCCACAAGCGAAAACACACCGAAGCCTAAATCGCGTTTCTATCAACATTCCGAATCATAAACAGTATATATAGAACTTCTCCGAACTATCACACGTTGAGTGTCGGCCTCTCCCGGGCAATTTTGAACACCTTGCCCGGCGGGAGATCTCCCCTTTTCCTACCACGGCCACAAGTACTTGTAAAGAAACAGTATAGTTATAGACTGTGAGGCATTCCTATCTTACCCGTGAGTTTGCACTGAGGTGGATTTTTTCAAATAAAAAACTGTACTGTTAGAATAACTACGAATATATATGCAACATAAATGTTACCATGGTCTTTGTTTCGTCCGTCTTCGTCTTAAGAGCTATCCATTGGGAGGCGCTATTGAGGTCATTGAGTATAGTGTTTAGGTTCTCTAGTGATTCTGCCATACCATAAGGACTATATAGTCGTCAAATCGAAGGTGAGTGACGTACTGTTAATACCTTATCCTTTTTAGTCCAGCACCTTGAAAACGTCACCTAATATAGCAGTGAAGAATTGCGGGGATCTAACGTCAGCCTATCATAGACATTTCTGCGTTTCAGTCTGGTTTTATACTTGCATAGCCATCGTAACCCTACTGTACAAATACTTCAGCACTTCGATATACCGACAGTCAACTTGTCACCGCTGAAAGGACTTCAGCGTCGCCCAAATATCGACGAAATCAATGGCTCATAGTCCACATACTCAAGGCAAAGTGGCAGATTGTACTCTTTGGTCTTCTGTACAATTTGTCGAAGCGTATGTATGAGATCTTTGGTATTAAAGCCTTTTCGAAAACCGGCTTGTTTGGGAAGCAAACATGCCACACTCTAAGATTAAAATTTTTTGACAAAATGATATGAATAAAAGAAAAAGACGATTTGAACTGATAACATTACATTTATCAAAGTATTTACAATTTACATTTAAACCCTTCAAACCTTTTAAAATTTTAAAATTCCCAAGCGGTCGCATGCGTCCGTCAAATCCCGAGCAGTCGCATGCGACGCACCCACCCACAGCACTATAAACCACAAAAACTTAAATTTAGAGATTACTTTTCTACGAAGAAGTTTGGCATTATAGAATCTATACAAAATTCCCTATTTTATAGTCTAAACAAAAGTCAGCTATTCAATGGGTTTTCATTTTTTAAACGTTGCATGCGACCGCACCCACCCATATAGCGATTTGAACCATATAAATTTATATTTAGAGACTAATTTTCTATGAAAAAGTTTGGCATTATAGAATCTATACAAAATTCTCTATCCTGTGGTTTAAACAAATCAGTTACTCTACGGATTTTTATTTTTAATCTACCGTAAAATTGCGCTATTTTCGTATGGTCAGCAAATGTCGCAAATTGACAGTAGAATAAAAATAAAAATCCATAGAGTAACTGATTATTGTTTAGACTGTAAAATAGAAAATTTCATATAAATTCTATAATGGCAAACTTCTTCATATAAAAGTAGTCTCTAAATATAAGTTTTTATGGTTAAAAGTGCTGTGGGTGAGTGCAGTCGGATCCGTGCTTGGGATTTGACGGAATAACGCCGTGGTCGTATCCGACCTAAGGGGTTTGAGAGGTAAACAGGTACATTCCTTTTTGTGCAAGTATTGGCTCCACTTGTGATCCAACCTATTTGAATATCCCATCATACATCACACACATCTTAAAGTTGATTCCCACCATTAGGCCCAGCGCTGACATACGAAATTGATGTAAGCAATTACTTACTCTCAGATTGGGAATTCAGGCTTTACGCTTTGCAGGCATTAAAATAAATAAACTTTACCAGATTTATGTGTTAAAAATGTGAACATAATATTACTCTTTTCCGATAGTTCCGGGGTAAAGGTTGGGATCCAGTACTCTGGGTGAAAAACTTCAACCTGATCCGCTGGGTTGGCGCCAATGTGTTCCGCACCTCGCACTATCCATACGCGGAAGAGATCTACCAGCTAGCTGACGAACAGGGTATTATGATCATTGACGAGTGCCCTGGAGTTAGTACAGAGTAAGTACGTGCCGTAACATTTTCTGTACTTGCCGATTGTTATAGTTCTATAGAAGCAATACTTACATACATAATACATAAACACTCACGCCTGTCACCCAGAGGGGTAGGCATAGACTACAGACTTCCATTTGGCACGATCCTGACACACCTCTCTCGCCTCCTTAACATCCATACATCTACGCATACATGCTCGTCGGTTAAGGGTACTCCTAATTTGGCCCGTTTTTAATAAATCGCCAATTTGGTCGATAAATTTTCGCCTAGCCCGTCCCTTTCCGACTCTGCCATTCACTTCTGCAACATAAATTTTCTTTGTCAGTATTTCCTCATCCATTCTTTCCACATGACCAAACCACCGAAGCATTCCTTTCTTAATCCTGGTCACAACATCATCTTGTAAACCACACTCTTCACTTATTACACAATTTCTTACCCTTTCATTCAGATTCGGCCCTAACATACTCCTTAACGACCGCATTTCTACTGCGTTCATTCTACTCTCGTGCTTCTTCTGCTACACCCAACTTTCACTACCATACGTTAAAGTAGGGACCAACACAGCATTGTGAATTGCCATACGTGCCTTTTTCGACACATTTTGACTCTTCACAATATAGTGTAGGGCCCCATTTACTCTATTTCCCGCATTCACTCGTCGTTCTATATCCTTATCATATCTCCCATCCCTGCTAAATACGCAATACTTGTTTACAAGTATCATGCATGTAGCGGTCATTGCCACAAATGACCAGAGAAATTAGGAAAGTTATGCTTCAGCGCTCTGCTGTCACTTTACTGATTATTTCCTAAAACAGCCCACCTATAAACGGTCAAGCATTAATTCATTCATTATTCATTCACTTCAAGCCTTATAAAGTTCACAGCTGAAGATAAGCCTCCACATATATTGTTACAACCACATTTATTAGCGGCTAGCAACCGCAGTTTTTTTAGTTCCTTCTTCTGGTTTGTTTCTCCCTGTCGCCTCTTGAGACACCCACGGGACGTCATGGGATAGCGGATGTTCTTCTTATTCAGCCACTTCACGGTAGGAACTTAAGTGCGAGTTACAAAATAATATAGAGACTGCGTTTATTCAGGACTTTAAAAATTAATATTTTATTTTCGGTACGTGGTGGATGGCTTAAGGCTCCTACAATGATCAGTAACCTTGACGATTTAGACTTTGTTTAAATTTAGCGACATCTACCAAAAGCAGACGTACTACAATGGCACTACGTAAATAGTAGACAAATATTAACGTTGGATAGATAATATGACAACTTAATTGCATAATTTTATTCGATCTCTGAGAGACATAGTAGTGAATTGAATTGACTTTAGACCTTGTAACAATATTCACTCGCATGTGCAGCACGGACGTACCTACGTGATACTTTGTGAAGGTATGTGGATGACCAGGTAAGAACCTTAGTGGTTCTCAGCAATGGAATGCTTAGGAAGATTTAGTTTTCAGAAACTCTCATATTCAGCACGGACGTTGCTACGTGACACTTTGTGAAGGTATGTGGATGTCCAGGTAAGATCCTAGTGGTTTTTAGCAATGGAAATGGTTAGGAAGATTTAGTTTTCAGAAACTCTCATATTCAGCACGGACGCTGCTACGTGACACTTTGTGAAGGTATGTGGATGTCCAGGTAAGTACAAAGTGGTTCTTAACAATGGAAATGGTTAGGAAGATTTACTTTTCAGTAACTCTCATATTCAACGCAGACCCTACTGCGTGACACTTCGCGAAGATATTTGGATGACCAGGTAAGTACCAAGTGGTTCTAGGCAATGGAAATGGTTAGGAAGATTTAATTTTCAGAAACTCTCATATTCAGCACGGACGCTGCTACGTGACACTTTATGAAGGTATGTGGATGAACAGTTAAGTACCAGGTGGTTCTTGGCAATTGAAGTGGTTAGGAAGATTTAATTTTCAGAAACTCTCATATTCAGCACGGACGCTGCTACGTGACACTTTATGAAGGTATGTGGATGAACAGTTAAGTACCAGGTGGTTCTTAGCAATTGAAGTGGTTAGGAAGATTTAATTTTCAGAAACTCTTATGTTCAGCACGGATTCTGTATACGTGCCACATTGTGAAGGTATATGGATGATCACGTAAGTACCAAGCCTACCAAGTGGTTCTCAGCAACGGAAATGGTTAGGAAGATTTAATTTTCAGAAACTCTCATGTTCAGCACGGATTCTGTATACGTGCCACATTGTGAAGGTATATGGATGATCACGTAAGTACCAAGCCTACCAAGTGGTTCTCAGCAATGGAAATGGTTAGGAAGATTTAATTTTCAGAAACTCTCATATTCAGCACGGACGCTGCTACGTGACACTTTATGAAGGTATGTGGATGAACAGTTAAGTACTAGGTGGTTCTTAGCAATTGAAGTGGTTAGGAAGATTTAATTTTCAGAAACTCTCATATACAGCACGAACGCTGCTACGTGACACTTTATGAAGGTATGTGGATGAACAGTTAAGTACCAGGTGGTTCTTAGCAATTGAAATGGTTAGGAAGATTTAATTTTCAGAAACTCTCATATTCAGCACGAACGCTGCTACGTGACACTTTGTGAAGGTATGTGGATGAACAGGTAAGTTTAAGGAGTTCTCGGCCATGGAAATAGTGAGAAAGATTTAGTTTTCAGTTACTGTCATATTTATCACGGACGTTGCTACGATAAATATTCTGAAGGTCTAGTGATGATCTGGCTCATATATGTAAGTGCTAAATTAAGTAAAAGAGGAAACAAACTTTGCGTACTTTTTTTTAATTATTTTATGATAACATGTTAGGCACACCATAAATCTGTCAAGATTAAAACAACCGTTGAATATTTTTTTGCAAGTTAAAATTCATGTGAACAGGTTGGTTGTTCCGCTTCTAGAATTACTGGTGTTGACGACCGTGACGATTCTTGATATAAGGAAAGCGTTGTATTTTCTTCCTGCTCAGCAATTGGAATTATGCGTTGTATTTTCCTCTTGGAGATTTCAAGTTTTTTTTATCTTTTTTAATAAATTCAATTATGCAGATTGGATTACGTATTTCCACATTTCTAGTATGTCTTGGGTCTAAAATTTCAGGCAATATACAATTTAAATAAAAATTGCATGATTTTGACTTCATTTTGTTTTCAAAAAAATCATCATCCCTATAAATAACTTCCGTTTTCAGTGGTTGCGCCTCACTGAACCATACAGAGAATACACATTTTGCTTTGCGAGCCACGTGCAACTGCCCTTGTACCTGGTGGAACCAGTTTTTTTTTTTTTGATCTCTAAATTACCTGATAAACTACCTAATTCTTTTTATAAGACCTCTTACTCCGACATCCAACAGTAATAACATCTATAATAGGAATGGCGTCAGTGGTTACACGTCTTTTTTCTAAAGCAATCCTTTTTTCTTCTTCTGCGGCTTGTTGCATGGTTTCACCAAGTGCTTTCTCCCAGGCGTTAGAAACAAAATCGTGCTATTTTTGGTACAGATGCTTAGTCATCATAGGTAAATTGATCGCTGATAGTAATTTATCTAATTTTGAGTAGCCTATACCAACAGAAACTGCACCGGCAACCACAGCTGTATTTATGTCCAGATCAACGATTTTCTGAATGGAATTTCCGCTGATTTCTCAATTGCCTAAAAACATAAAGTTACATTAGAAATATTATCGCAACAATCACTCTCAACAAAAGAGTACAATAAAAGCATTTTCACAAAAGTTAAGTGAAATCATCATAGACAGCTAGGTCTGCGAGTCCTTTAAAATGAGTACAAACACGATAGATCTACGTGGTTCCGTCACTGAGATCCTGTACCCACTTTCGGACTACTTAGGAATGCAGCATCAGGTAAATGAAATCATCACAGACAGCTAAGTAGCTGCGAGCCATTTAAATGAGTACAAAAACGATGGTACTACGTGATTCCGTCACTGAGATCCTGTACCCACCTTCGGACTACTTTGTAGTGCAGCATCAGGTAAGTGAAATCATCACAGACAGCTAGGTAACTGCGAGCCCTTTAAAATGAGTACATACACGATGGTTCTACGTGGTTCCGTCACTGAGATCCTGTACCCACCTTCGGACTACTTCGGAGTGCAGCATCAGGTAAATTATATCATCGCAGGCAGCTAGGTAGCTGCGAGTCTTTTAAAATGAGTACAAAAACGATGGTACTACGTGGTTCCGCCACTGAGATCCTGTACTCACATTCGGACTACTTCGGAGTGCAGCATCAGGTAAATGAAATCATAATAGACAGCTAGGTAGCTGCGAGCCCTTTAAAATGAGTACAAACTCAATAGTTCTACGTGGTTCCGTCACTGATATCCTGTACCCACCTTCGGACTATTTCGGAGTGCAGCATCAGGTAAGTGAAATCATCACAAACAGCTAGTTAACTGCGAGCCCTTTCAAATGAGTACAAACACGATGGTTCGACGTGGTTCCATCACTGAGATCCTGTACCCACCTTTGGAGTGCAGGACTGTAGCATCAGACCAGCCAAAAATGGTCACGTTTATTTTTTTTCACTAGACGTTTTTGTAGTACCAAGCTTATTTACGGCTAAAGAAGTTCCCCACCTATACAATAGGAGGGAACACGACAGTTTTCGGACCGCTGCCATACTCTGTATAAGTATTTACGCAAAAGAAAATAAATAAGGATAATTTACTTACCAATAGTTTTGAAGAGCTTGGCCATGCTTCACTTTTGTCTTGCTTTTGTATTTCGGCATTGTCAAGCTTGGTCTATTCTATGATACGATTATATACAAAACTAAAACTAAAAACAATTTTATTTACATAAATCAACTTAATTCCTAATTTTTATCATATATTTCTAATGTATTTTTATTTACAACAAATCTGTTTTTATAAATTTGAAATATTGCGAACTTTTTAATATTATTGTCAGAAAATAACGCGCGCACAGTCCACCCGAGTCGAACTGACACTGGTGAATATCCGTAACGGGCCATAACGGGGGAGCTTCGGGTGGCGGAAAGGGGCCAAATTATGTTTTACTATATTTTAAGAAATATATTTAACAAAAATACAATAAAAACAATACATTTTTTTAATTATGATTTAACAAATATTTTAATATAAATTTAATCTTAAACTATTGAGCCGTTCTTGAGAAAAAATACAAAATAGGTTTAAAACAGCCTTTGCCTTTGATTTTTTTTGTAATAATGGTCAAATATTCAAAAAATTTAAACAATACAAATAAATTGTGACGATCTAAACTATAAAACCTAATTTTTTGTAGCAAATAAACAAAAGGATTCGGCTATAACTTTTTGTAAACCTGGGCGTTTTTCACGATTTGAGCAATGTAAAAGGCTTAATAATGTTGTATTTAAACAGAACGACCTTTTAATCTGTCATGAGACTACAATTTATACATAAAAATAATAGATGCGTTAAAAGTTTTTTCTCTCTTTTTTGTTTGTTGAACGGAAAATATATTCAAGATTTTCATAACTGTCGCTAGTTTCTGTACAGATGAGGTTAGCACCAAAGGGTTTATTATATTCCTCATTAGACGCCAACGTACCAATAATCTCAACTCCAGTAGTAGTGTCGACACCGGGCTCAGGTTGCTTACCTGGTAAGAAATTTATAGGCTATAGAGCATTCCAAACAAACGTTTAAGAGGGGACTAAGGTCCTCAAGGATTTGAACGTATCTGTCATGTCAAGTGCACTAGCTGGTAAAACTTCTTTTCTGCCTAGAATTCGTCTGGATCACACTCTTACTTGTTTCTGCTGCCGTGCTCTTTGTGTAATTACAGACATTAAGGTATACCATCTTAGTCCTCAGAGGCGACAAAGCATCTGCAGCCTCCATTATTTGAAATTGGTTGCAGGTGTCCATTGTCTGCAGTAGCCACTTACCATCAGGTGAACTGTAGGTATGTTTGTCCCTTAAGATACATAAAAACCAGTAGCAACTAATGTACCATCAGATTACACTGTCGTATCGTTTGTCATTCCTTTATTGTGAAATACTCCCTCACCAACTTAACTAATCTGGTGTGAAATTGATAAAATATTTTCTACAGAATATTCTCGAAGTCTCTGCTGGCAAAGCACAAGCAGTCGTTGACGGAGCTGATTCGACGAGACAAGAACCACCCGTCTGTTGTCATGTGGTCCATCGCAAACGAACCCAAGTCCGCCGACAGTCTCGCTGACGCCTACTTCGGGTAACATATACGTTTTTGTTGCCGTGATATAACTTTTTTGTAATAATTTTTCTTTATCAGCCTATTTATTTGACATGAAAAAAGAAGGAGCTTCACATTGGGTGCGTTTGGCAGAAAAAAAGCGCTAGCAAGCGCTTGTAAGCAAAATGGCGAAACTAAACAATTTTCGGCCAGGACACGTTTGCTAACTTCAGTAGCGCTGACACAATCTGCCATTTTGCTTATTTAATTTGTTTGTTTTGAAGTAGAGTTTATAAGTTGTTTTGTGCAATATAATTTTGAAGTAATATAATGACATGAATAGACATATACATGTTATCAAAAATTCATGATTGGTAAGTTTTTAATATGAATACTTTACAAACATATATTTAAAATTAGGTAAGGTTCCCCGGTTAAAATTAACTTCGTGTCCTAGACGAAAATAGCTACTTACGATTTGACAGCGCTTACCGCTTACGATCGCCATTTTGCTTACAAGCGCTTGCTAGCGCTTTTTTCTGCCAAAAATTTCTGTTTTCTTTCTGTCTTTTTGTATGTGTACGTGATATCTTCGTCGATTGTGAACAGATTTAACGATTCTTTTTTTTTATTAAATAAGTTATACTTCTGGGGTGGCCTTATATAAATTTAGAGAACAAACCCACCCCTAAGTTTGGAAACATAGGGAATGAAATTTTTAATACAACTATTTAGAAAGCATTCAAAGCCTTTTACCTCTTAGCTTGCGATATTTCTCAGTCCACTGATGAATTTTATATTTAATAAAAAAACCGGCCAAGAGCGTGTCGGGCCACGCTCAGTGTAGGGTTCCGTAGTTTCCCGTCCGTCACAATAAGTGTTCCCACTTATGAGTTTGTACAAAAACTGTTGTTTCCATCCAAGTTCAAAATGATTTTCCTAGAAAGTCCTTATAAAGTTCTACTTTCCAGATTTTTTTCATATTTTCTAAACTTATGGTTCAAAAGTTAGAGGGGGGGACACATTGTTTTTTACTTTTGGAGCGATTATTTCCGAAATTATTGACATTATCAAAAAATTATTTTAGTAAACCCCTATTCATTTTTAAATACCTTTCCAACAATATATCACACGTTAGGGTTGAAATTAAAAAAAATCACTTCCCACTTTACATATAGGGGGGCTACCCTAATAAAACATTTTTTCCAATTTTTATTTTACCACTTTGTCGGCGTGATTGATACACATATTGGTACCAAATTTCAGTCTTTCTAGTGCTAACGGTCACAGAGATTAAGCGAGGACGGACAGACGGACAGACAGACATGGCGAAACTATAAGGGTTCCTAGTTGCTTTAAAAAATTAAAGCAATATTCAAAGAACTAAAACCTAGGAATTGTATAATAATTTTAACTCCTCCATCTCTCGTATTTTAGTTACAAAAAGTCACAAGTCAAAGGCTTATGAATGGAAAATACATGAGTAGGGTAGGTACTATTGAGTTTGCCGCGAACTGTAATAGTTGCGTTACATTGGAACTAAAAAAAAATTCACATAATAACTTCTGAAGTCGGGGCTTTATTTCTACTTCCGCTTCCTTTTTTATTTTATTATTTGGCTTCTCTTGAATTCTTCTACCAACTATGTCATTATACCCACTGTCACTGCACACCACTCTTTTTATAATATAACAGAGTCAGTGCTTTTATTTCTAATACAATAAATTGTTACAGTGAAATAGTTGAACACGTGAAATCAATGGATCTGTCAAGACCAATCACCATTGCCATTTCCGAGACCTACACCGATGACCAATCCGTAAGTATTTAAGTAACAAAACGATGAACAACATTTTATCCACATTTTAAAAGAAAAATAAGTCGGAAAGTTGGTTGTTACTTAAGGAATTGAAGATTTTATAGTAGGGGACTTGTGACAAATAGCTAAAGCATTAAAATGTAAAACTAACGAAAAACTACGAAAAAGGTACGACAAACTAAAAATATAGTCGTTTTCATGTGTTTTTCATATTAATTTTATTGCCTGAACTTTAACAAAAACAGCTTACGAAATCAAAAGTTCTAATCATTTATTAAAACAAAATAATAACTTTATCAAAGAATAAAGTTACCTACCCTAGAGATTGTGCTTTTAGAATCTGTACGCTGAATGTGAATTTTTTACTATAACTACCGAATTCATTTTTTGCTGACATTTTTAATAAACCGAAAAAGCTCATCTCATAAACTGTCATTGAAACTTAATATAGTAATAGCTAATAGAGTTTAACGCTTATGATAGTTGTAGCGATATGTAACCACAAAGTTGGAAGTTAAATACGTGTGACTTGGTCCCGACAAAACACAAAACAATAAAATATTTTTTTTTATAGAAGAGGAGGCAAATGAGCATACGGCTCACCTGATGGTAAGTGATTACCGCCGCCCATGAACTAGTGCACCACCAAGAAAATTGCAGAAGGAGTAGACTTTTTCTTGAAGGTCCCTAAGTCGTATCGGTCTGGAAAAATCTCTGCTGGAAGTCAATTCCAGAGGAAAGTTGTACAAGGAAGAAAACTTCTTTTAAATCGCACAATGGTAGACTGTCAGTCAGCCAGATGGTATGGATGGTATCACGAGTTTTGTCGCGATGTGCGAACGTGAAATTGTGCGGTTGGAATTAGTGCGAACAATTTCTTAAAGCACTCCGCGTGATAAATGCGATAAAATACGCAAAGAGATGGAACATCTCTTCTCAGTGCCAAGGAGTCAAGCCAGTAAGAATGAGCTCGGTCGCCGACGATTCGAACCGCTCTGCGCAGGATACGATCAAATTGAAGGAGCTGGCATTGGGGAGCCCCAACCGAGAGATGGGAACAGTATTCCATGTGCGGCCAAACCTGCGCCTTCTAAAGTTGCAGGTAGTGTGCCGGCATGAAATACTGTCCCAATCTGTTGAGCACGCTAAGCTTTTTTGAGGCCAATTTGGCCTTCTCTTTCAAGTGACCACGAAACTGCAAGTTACTCAATATATCGACGCCGAGGATTCCGCTACTGGCTAAGGCAACATGGCGAGTACCTTGAAACTAAAGAGATACAACGAACGGGCTCTTTTTAGCGGTAAGCGAGTAATCTTGTCTTTTGGTGATTGAACTGGACTAGATTCAGTCGCCCCTAGTCCGAGACTTTGTTCAACTGAGTGTCGACTTTTTTCACAAGTTTGTCCCGGTACTCGGCGACGTTTTCCCAAGAGATATTAGCATGGCCGGTGTATAAAGCATCACCAGTGCTGTCGTCAGCACAGCAATGAATGTTACAAAAGAGTACACAAAAGAGTGTTCTAATTTGTAACCCGGGTAGGAGTGTTACAAAGTATGTACCGGAGAGGACACCTCAGTCTCGGTTAGAAAGAGCAAGGTCACCGTTCACCATTTCACCGTTTGTCAGATGCTAGAGGACGGCGTTTAGGTTTGAATGAAGTCCCTAATGACATAGAAATTCACGGTTAACGCGGCAGGGGGCGCTTTTGTCTTATCTCCGTTTGCCCCGAGCAGGTTGAGTCTCCCAGAATACGAGGGGCGGCCTGAGCACCCACGCTCAGGAAGATAGTAGAGTATAGCAGAGTAGCTTGGGCGTGGGTGCTCAAATTATTATACTAGTTAAATTGAAAGTGCAGCCGTTACAGGTTGGCTTCATTAATCCACTGTTTAAAAATATGTACACAAAGTTATAAAATCACAAAAATAACGTACTCCTGTTCGATATTCACCTATACACCTATAGTATTATAAAGCAAGTGTTCACGCATGTACACCGAGATATTCATTCTTCCTAATCTATTAAATTGAACTTATGCGATAAGTTCGGAGGTCAAATGCAGTTTCAGAGACACTTGACCAGACAAAGTGAACAATTTATGTTTCTACACAAATAATGACTCTGGTTGACAGTAGCGGATTTACCACAAAAAAGATCTAGATCAAAATTCCACGTTGGTCCACGTTGGTTTTACGTGGAATTCAGATCTAGGCCCACAAGGCTTAGGCCTAGCGAGGTATAAATTTGAGATCTGGCAATATTTGAAAAAGTGATTTTTATATAGCAATTAGATTTAATTGAAATGTTTCACCATTGTTCCTGTATTGTGGAGGCAGTATACATACATAAATTTCACAAGGACAAACTTCCAGACCCGCCGTTAATTAAGGCCGTCAAACACTTCTTTCATGCGGGATTCAAACCCGCAGCCCGCAGCGCTGCAACTCTATGCTAAGCCTGCATTACATAGTCGTCAGTTCCGTTTCCTAATAAGGACGAGTACAAGTTAAAAAAATTTTGCTTCCTTTATTATGACTCAAAGGTGTTTGTATGTTTTGTATGGTGAATGACGAGAACGTCATGTGTCAGGTGACGTCACACTTAATTGCCAGCGGCTATGAGGTCATATCATCAGGGGGAACTGGTGGAAAAATTATGTGAATTATTTTTTGACATTTTTGTATTACAACATAATTTATATTACACGGCTTATTATCCATGAAATTTTCGTCGTTCATCATACGTACAACAAAGGAATGGAATAAGTTGCCAGCATCTGTTTTTCCATCCGATTACAGTGTGGGTGTCTTCAAGGCAAGAGTTCAAGGAGAGAGGCTTTTGTTAAGGTGAAGTAGGCGTCAAAAGCAGATTTATAACGTTTTATATGAACTGTTTGGTCGGCTCGCACGCTATTTAATCGCACAATATTTATTTGATATTTCTTTTTAAAATTATAAATAGTTTATTGAAAAATAAACCCGTAATTCACTCACGTATTTACTGGTGAACACATAGCCTGAATTTAATTGGAATTGATTTCATTACATTCGAATGAAACTGCTTTTTCACTTAGTGAACGTACCTAAAATTGTAGATTTTGAGGAAATTTTGCGATCTTTTTCTGTCAAGCCAAAATGTGTCAATTGTGTTTTGGCCACCATAATTCACTAAGAAAAATCTTTAAATTTTATAATAAAGTTAAAAAAATTTGAATTCGTAGTTTTTAATGACAAAAACTTGCACTTTTAAAGCGTGAAAAATCTACTTTTGGCGCCCACGTCACCTTAAGTCAGTTACCATCAGGTGGGATTGTACATAGTTACGCGCTGGCTTAGAATAATAATTTATAAAAAGCTGGCTACTAGTCCAAGCCGTTGCCATTCATTGTAAATAGTTAAATGATGTAACTGCAACTAAACGTATTATGCAAACTGTCATAGGCAAAACACCTTGACGTGATAAGCTTCAACCGCTACAACGGTTGGTACCTAGAGACGGGCTCTCTTACTTCCATCACCAACAACGTGGTCGACGAAGCCACCGCGTGGCATATCAAGTACAACAAGCCTATCATTATGTCCGAGTATGGAGCTGACACTATCGCCGGGCTGCATCTGGTAAGTGACATTCATGATCTTTTTTTTATAGAATAAGGGTGACAAACGAGCACACAGTCCACCTGGTGGTAAGTAAATGCTGTGGTCCATAGACATCTACACTTATGCTCGATTAAGAATCGCAGATGCGTTGTAACCCTTGAGGACTAAAATCGAATGCCTCGTTCCCAGTAAAAAAGGGTCTCTGAATCTTTACACTCACCATACGAAACACAGCAGCAATGAGGCTGCTATTTTACGCTGGTATTCTGTGAGAGCGTGGTTCTTCCCCGATTGAGCCGACTCATTCGTGCTACAACCATAATATAACTGCAGCGTGGCTCTACCACGCATTACTCTAATACTATTAATCTAATAATTATGGCTAGTAATATTTCAGGATGGACGCTGTTCGTTTCGCTAAGTTCGTCACGTGCAATAGCAGACATAGATCTTCCCCAACCGAGAGAGAACAAGAGTCTCGAATACGAGCTTCGTACTAACAAGCGGTATAAAGCTTCTTCCCACTAGATATAACGAACGAAAGGAGCCAATGAGGTTGAGATGCCTAATCCTCGACAAACTTCTCGTATTCGCCACGCTTGGCAGGCAGCTTGGGGATCATCCTATCAGACGTCTTAACCTCCAATAACTCTGCTACCTGTCAATAGTCAGTATTTCGCAATTCGTCATTTTTTAAGATGGTTGATAATTGATAGATTATTTTTTTACTATAGCGACAAACCGAGCTAACAGTTTCCCTGGTGTTAAATGGCTGCTGCAAATAATGATAGTGAGACAAACGAGCACACAGTCCACCTTATGATAAGTGGTTGCTGAGGCCCATAGATATCTACATCTATCCTCGATTACGAATCAAAATGCAGGTGCGTTATCACCCGTTCCGTGAGGACTAAGATGGGATGCCTCGTTTCGAATAAAAAGGGTCTCCGGTTCTCTACACTCACCATACGAAAAACAGCAGCATTGAGCTACTATTTTACTCTGGTATTCTGCGACAGCGTGTTATTCCCCGGTCGAGCTGATCCATTCGTGCTACACTATACTACTAATATAACTGCAGCATGGCTCTACTACGTATGAAATGCCGCACATACTGTAGTTTTTCTGCCTACGATTTTTGATTACGCGCACTGCTGTGTTCCAGTCTGCAGGGTAAATAGAACTAGCATAATTACGAGCCGTGAGGATAACATCTTATTTATTTATTTATTACAGAAACTGTATATACAAAAGAAGTATGCAATGGGCAGCCTTATTATCTTAGTCCTCAGAGGTGACAATGCCTTCGTTGACGTCGTTTTTTGCTATGCTTGCATCTATCCAATTATATCGACCGTAATTTCGATTGATATATCAATTATATATTTAAAAAAAATTATTATTCACACCGTAGAAGAACCCTTAGGTGTTCTATGAAATTTAATACGAGCGCACAGCCCTCAGACCTGACCAGTTTATTTTAACCTTTTTCCTTCTCATCGCATTTCTTAAACATTCGGAAGGATTAAAAAGAAGAGTAGAACGTGGTCGACATCGGCTTCGACCACATTAGGTAGGATTAACATCCTTACCATACACGTACAGCTATGATGTACGTGTAAACGAATATTATAATATGTATATGACGTCACATCATGTAAACCATTCTTAAATTCTCTATTTACATAAGACTTGAGCGTCCTCATACGGCCAGCAGTGAAGGACCACGTCTCAGATCCGTAAGTCATCACTGGCAACACGCACTGGTTGTACAATCTAGTTTTTAGAGATTGAGGTATACCTGACGAGAAGATATGTCGTAATTTCCCGAACGCTGACCAGCCGAGTTGAATCCGTCGATTAACCTATCCGTTGGGAGGCACTATTGAGGTCATTGAGCATAGTGCTTAAGACCTCCAGCGATTCTGCCATAAGGACTATATCGTCGGCAAATCGAAGGTGAGTGATGTACTCGCCTTGATGTTAATACCGTATCCTTTCCAGTCCAGTAGCTTGAAAACGTCTTCCAATGCAGCGGTGAAGAGTTTCGGGGATATAATGTCACCCTGTCTTACACCTCTCTGCAGTTGGATAGGTTTCACAGTTGGATAGGTTTCAAGCTCTGGTTTGTACTGGATAGCCATCGTAGCCCTACTGTATAAACACTTCAGCACTTCGATATACCGACAGTCAACTTGGCACCGCTGGAGGGACTGTAGCACCGCCCAAATTTCGACGGAATCAAAGGCTTTCTCATAGTCCACATACGCCAGGCAAAGTGGCAGATTGTACTCTTCAGTCTTCTGTACAATCTGACGCAAGGTATGTATGTGGTATATGGTACTGAAGCCTTTTCGGAAACCGGCTTGTTCGGGAGGCTGGAAGTCGTCGAGTCTGCGTGCGAGACGATTCGTAATGACTCTCGAAAACAGCACGTAGACGCGGCTCAGAAGGGAAATCGGTCTGTAGTTCTTGAAGAGAGCGTTGTCGCCTTTCTTAAAGAACAAGACCACCGCACTTCTGCTCCATGCCTCTGGAGTAGTGCCACCATGGAAGACGGAATTGAAGAGCTTCTGAAGGACTTCAAGTACCGGTGTTCCACCCGCTTTCAGAAGCTTCGCTGTAATTCCATCCTCGCCTGGGGCCCTGCCGTTTTTAAGGTGCTGGAGAGCCATTCTAATCTCGCTTAGACTGACGTCCGGGATATCATCGGAATGGTGTCGGATAAGACTTGTTCTTGGATCGTTACCCACACTTGCGTGTGGCTCCAACGATGATGTGTACAGCTGCCCATAGAACCTCTCAATCTCACTTAAAATCTCAGGTGTCTCGGAAACGATGCTGCCACACTCAGTCTTCAGCTTTGACAGTTGGCTCTTACTAGCAGACAGATCTCTGGCAAAGATTTTGGAGCCCTGGTTCCGCTCGATCGCTACTTTAATACGAGCAGTATTAAAGTTGCTTAAGTCTCGCCGCATGCATTTGGAGATCTGTCTGTTCAGTTGCCTGTATGCTGTCAAATCTGTTGACGATTGCAGCCTCATCTCCCGTCTAACAGCCATGAGATTAAGAGTGTGATCGGAGAGTTTTTGTGTTCTTCTGCGGCGGGTCTTGCAGAACTTAGCTCCGACCGCATGGACATTAGACGAGACCTCTCCAACTTAACGTTTAGTTTCAGTGTGCCTCTAACCATTCGGTGATCGCTGCCAGTTTTCACCCTTGAGATCACTGAGACATCACTGAACAGTTGGCGTCTGGTCGTCATAATGAAGTCAATCACATTTTTGTCGAACCGTCGGGGCTCGACCAGGTCCACTTCCTGTGGGGCCGCTTCTGGAAGAAAGAGTTCATCATAAAGAGTCCCTCTTTCTCCATAAAGTCAGCCAGCTACTGGCCCCTTCGGTTCCGTTGCCCTACTGCAAATTTCCCCTAACTTCACCTCACCGTTTTTTCTTGTGCCTAGTTTTGCGTTGAAGTCTCCCATCAACACCGTGTAGTGGGTTTTGGAGGAATGCATTGCTTTGGAAATATCCTCAAACATTTCCACCACCTCTTCATCGGGATGTGCTGGTCGATGGTCGATGCCTCAGGTCGCTCAGCGAGCTATGGAGAGGGCTATGCTCGGAGTTTCTCTGCGTGATAGACTCAGAAATGAGGATATCCGCAGTAAAACCAGAGTGACCGACATAGCCCAACGGATTAGTAAGCTGAAGTGGCAATGGGCCGGCCATATAGCTCGAAGAATCGATAACCGATGGGGAAGAAAGGTTCTCGAGTGACAGCCTCGTACCGGTAGGCGTAGTGTAGGGCGACCCCCCACTAGATGGAGTGACGACCTGGTAAGATATGCAGGAAGTCGATGGATGCAAGTGGCTCAGGACCGTGCTTTGTGGCATTACTTGGAGGAGGCCTATGTTCAGCAGTGGACTTGTGAAGGGGCTGTAATGATGATGATCCTGATGATAAGACTTGACCTTTTAATGTAAGAATTTTAAAGTTTAGGAAAACTATTCTAAAGAACCATATCTCGCTATCTATATAATATTAGGACATAGACCTTTGTACGAATACGTCAGCTCACATGTATATCTTGTAGATTTGACCATATTCGACACGTTTATCATGCAAGTGGAATGCGCGGAGTCATACAGTGGCATTTGTATACTGCAGCCCACCAGTCCTTGAAATTTGTATCCAACATTTTTGGACTGATTTTCTGCCAATATCCAAACAGCCGGGCCTTTGCCAGGTCAGCTTACTGATTCAATTGGCTACCATCAAATCGTCCAATTTTGCCCGCTTTTTTGCAATTATGTTGATTTTCTTTAAAAAAATTGTATGATATGTTATACTTTTCAATTTCTAAGAATGGCCTAGGCGATTATGGAATTGTATAACGATTGTAAATTCAGTCTTATTTACATAAAATTTCAAGTAATTTGAAATTTTGATGACTGGAAAATTTACCTTTATTTTCGTCCATGTTTGCCCGCATCCATCATTGGCGGAACTATAGCTCCTATGGCATTCTTGTCAAAGAACTGGTATAAGTTTAAAGGCAAAGTGGGCGTTACGAAACGCTTTTGCACAATAGATTCACTATAAAACATTTGGGCAATTTTAGCCTCCAATATCCATTTGTTTTCATATAAGCAATTCGTAGGTGTTAGGGTTGTCAAAATCTGGAGGGCACAGGTAGGAAAATAAATAAAAATATGCTTAGCGAAACCTTTTATTTAATTAAATAGATGTAAGTTCCTATATCCACAGTCTTTAATTAAATCTGTCTAAAACATATGGCACTATTTTGAGGTAGGTATATTTTTTCGTAATATTATAGAAATCAAAAATTGTGTACGTAGTTTTCTTCTTGATTTACGTTTTTGAAATATGTTTTTTCTTTTCTGAAAAGAAATGTACAAATAAAACAGATACATAAGAAGAAAACATTTTGGAAATTTCAGAAAAGTTAAAGTAAATTAAATTAAATGTAAAAGTAAATGAAATGCTTAGCTCAATATACTCTTTTAAATCAAAACATATTTATAAGTGCCAAAATAAAACAAGAATTTAAAAAGCAAACCAAAATCATAATATATACATCCACATAATCATAATGATTTTTGTTGCCCGTCCCTTTTAGGAAAAAGTGAATAAAGAAATTGGTTTTATTTTAATGTATTATTTGCAAAATATCCCTGAGGTAGTTGATTTGTTAAAAAAATATCAAATAAGCTTCGATTAACGTTACCCTCAAAATAGATAATAAATTTTAAAATAGATAATATGTAATTATTTGCGCAATACCAATATAAAGAGTTAAATCTATTATGTAAAACAAGTGTAATTAATTTGTACCAAACTGCATGTAAAAGGCGCTGAATTTTTTTCAATTAACACAATATGGACCACAGCACATAGCCAACATATAGACCGTATTCGGAACATTGAGGCAAAAATGACACCTCACACGTTAAAATCGCCAAGATGGTTAAGCTACGGAGGTTACATAGGAGCTCACAAACATATCTCTTCTTCTTAGGCTGTCGGCTAATAAGAAAGTGACAACCCTTGTACACTTTTTTGGATGGGCAAAATTGACAACCGGGAGATGCAACTTATGCGGCTTATTTTGCCCACTGTCATCATTGTCTATTTAAAGTACTGACAGGAAAGAATACACAAGAAAAAGATTCTAGAAACCCCTTTCTGGACCATGTAACAAGATAATCTAATAAGAACCTTTGTCTTCGCCATTGAGAAGCATACCAAGAAACACTGAGGCTAAATTGACCCGCATCAAAACACACGTGCACTTTGAATGGTTCTGGCAACTGAGTGTAATCAAAGGTAAGAACCATTCCCGGTGGTGCCAGAAATATAGTCTACATTTATTTAAAACAAAGCAAATCAAAGTAAATTAAATAGTAATTTTTAAATTTGCGATTGAGATTAAAATTGGCTTAGCGGGCAAAATATAAAACATTGGCAAAGTTGGGCGGTTTGACGGTACGTCTTGTTCTACTGCGGATATCTTCATTACGAATTTTATCACGCAGAGAAGCTCCAAGGATAGTCTTCTCCATTACTTACAGAGAATATTGCAGAGAGACTTTGAGCTTCCTTCTTCCTTCAGATCAGTTGGAATGATCAGTTGAACTGACCATGTGTGTCCTCCATAAGTCTTAGCGGTCAGTTAAAACACAATAATGATACTACAATTGATTTCCGCAAAGTAACGCCTGATTCTATTATCTTATCAAAATTGGTCTAGCTGTATAGGATCCTCAGACATCTGGACGGTAATGGAAGGCACAACACCCACCATCATCGCCGGGGACCTGAACGCCAAACACCCGGCGTGGGGGTCCAGAGTGATCACCCCGCCGGGTCGTGAACTCTATGAAGACGCTGAACACCACGACTATGACGTTCTAGGTCCCGAGGAACCGACGCACATCCCTAGCGACCCTAGGAAGCGTCCGGATGTATTAGACATCGTGCTCACTAGGAACGTCAACTATCCAGTAGTGGTAGAAGTGCTGTATGACCTGAATACACAGCACCTCCCGATTCTGATAACCCTTGGCACTAAGGCAGTGACCTCACCGCCCAGAGCCAGTAAGACCAAGATCGACTGGAGGCTCTACCACCAACACCTGCAGGAGAGACCTCCAGTCCATACACCGATTACCTCAGCGGACGACGTAGAGGCCGCTGCAACCAGAATTTCCACGAGCATCAAGGAGGCCCTCAACGCGGCCTCTACGATCGTCCCTCTCTCGGGAAGGAAAGAGGAGCTGCCGCTAAAGATACGCGTGCAGCTAAATCATAAAAGAGCGCTGAGGAAGCTCTGGGCGCGTACTCGCTGCCCTAGAGTAAAGAGAAAACTAAACACCTTGTCAGACGAACTGTCGGTTGCAATACAGGCCCACAGAGGAGAGGCCTGGGAGCGGCGCATATGGAAAGCTGATGAACAGCACGCGTCGCTCTACACATTGAACCGGCAGTTAACGAAAACTCGACCACCTGTTTGCCCGCTAACCAACAACGCGGGCATTCAACGTTACGATGCCAAGGGCAGAGCGGATATCCTAGCTGAGCACTTCGAGGAGCAGTTTATGCCGAACCCTACAAGTGCGGAGTTCCTGGAATCCCATACACGGAAGGAAAGCCGCGTGCAGGAGCTCCTGTCGTCGCCCGCGCCACCGCTTGCAGGAGAGTGGTTTATCTCCCCCGCAGCCCTGCGGAGGACAGTAACCCGCCTGCAACCGAGGAAGGCGCCGGGGCACGACGGGATTACTAACGCTGCACTACGACAGCTGCCCAATAGAGTCCTTGTAGAGATAGGTCGGCTCTACAATGGAATATTGCGGACATCCCACTTCCCGGAGGACTGGAAGAAAGGCAAAGTCATCGTCTTGCCGAAACCCGTGAAGGACAGGCGTAGAGTTGCCAACTACAGGCCGATCACGCTGCTACCGCATATAGCTAAACTGTGCGAAAGACTATTGTTAAGACGTCTCCGCCCGTGCATCCAACTTCGGGCGGAGCAACATGGATTCAGGAGGGGTCACTCAACAGCAACACAGCTGACCAGAGTGCTGCACCTGCTTGCGGCCGAACACAACCGTGGCCGCATATAGTTGGGCGTCTTTCTCGATATCGAGAAGGCGTTCGACCGGGTGTGGCACACAGGATTACTCTATAAATTAGATGTGCAAACAAGTATCCCTCCTGCTATATTGCGGCTAGTGGCGTCTTTCCTGGAAGGCAGGAAGTTCTACGTCTGCGTAGAGGACGCCGAGTCCGCAATTAAGACCATAACAGCTGGTGTGCCACAGGGCAGCTGTCTATCTCCAGCCCTGTACGCGGCGTACACTAATGACATACCCACCCTGGCAGGACACTTGCAAGAATGGGAGGACGACGTCGAACTAGCACTGTTTGCGGATGACAGTGCATACTTCACGTCGTCCAGAAGAGCCCACATAGCAGCTGCCAGGATGCAACGTCTGCTGGACCTGCTGCCACCATGGTTGGATGAGTGGAGGATGGCCGTCAATGTTAGCAAGGCGACCGCTCTACTCACTCGCCGCTATAGAAACCTACCACCACCGCTAACCCTCAGAGGCCAGGAGATCGCATATGAGAAGGCCGTGACCTACCTTGGATGTCGGATTGACAGGATGCTGCGTATGACTGCGCACGTTGACTCTGCTATACGCAAAGCTCGATGTGCGCGGGCAATGCTACGTCCTGTCCTGACATCCAAGTTACCGACAAAGTCGAAGATAACCATCTATAAAACCTACATAAGACCCCTGCTAACATACGCTGCTCCGGCCTGGTATGCACTTCTGAGCGATCGTCAGAAGCGGCGACTTCAGGCCCAGCAGAATTTGTCATTAAGAACTATAGTCGGTGCGGGTCGCTACGTCCGTAATGACGTCATAGCGGCCAACCTCAAGATAGAGAGCCTTCATGAATTCGTGGTCCGGCTGGCGCGCGGTATGTTTGACCGTGCCGACAACGGGCCACACGAACACCTCAACGGCTTCGCGCCGTTGCATGCAAGGCCGCCGGACGGGCGACCTTATCCAAGAGAACTCCTCCCTATATAGATTAGGGAGTCCGAGTAAACCCCTCAATGCCGCAGAAAGGCCAACTTTGACAAATAATTGTGTTATTTATACACAATTATTAGATAACCTCCTTTTACTTATAATTTAACCGACTGCGACAATAGTCGTTATAGCAACGCCTTCAACATCAAGGCGCCCAGGACCGGCACATTGTAGTGTGCCGTGAGGAACATCCGGGTAAAGGGGTACACCCCGAGGCCCGAGACCTGCACGGCACTTATGCCCTGCAGAGGACAGCAACGACGAGCTGTATAGGAGGAGTTCAGTGATAAACATACGTTCAGAAGAATTATATATATATATATATATAAGATGAAACTATAGTTTATATGTATATACTATAGTTTTATGAAGTGAGCTACAAATATGGTGTCTGATTGTTGTTTATCTGTTTCAAGGGAGATGGTATCCCTATCATCAGTACGCCTTTAACCTAACTACAAATTATATTTACATTGAATTTACCTTTTAGATTCCGGAGTACGTGTGGTCGGAGGAGTTCCAGGTGGCGTTGATGTCTGAGCACTTTAAAGCTTTCGACAAACTACGACAGGCTGGCTTCTTCGTGGGCGAATTTATTTGGAACTTCGCCGACTTTAATACTGCACAGAGTATGAACCAGTCTTATTTACTTTATTTACTTAGTCTTATTTTACTTATCTACCATATTAATTTTACTACAAACTAGCTTTTGTCCGCGAGTTCGCCCGCGTATAGAAAATGGATCTAATAGATTTTTTTAAACAATTTTTATTTTATTAGTTTTGTTATATTATATAAATTATTATGTTAAAATTTTTGAATACTTATAAAATATAACAATCTTTATTATAGTGTAGGGATTAAAAGGTTAAATAAACATGAAAATAAAGTAAAATTTTGTTGTGTTTTATGAAAACGAAGATCGGCCTTTGATCTGGTGAAAGCGACACGGGTCTATTATCTTTTAACAACGAAATCTAAATACTACACCTACCGCAGTATTTCTTTGTATACAATATTTTTTGTTTTTCCTTCGGGTGCTAGAATCACCAGGCTGCTCAGTGCGCTTGGTCTGGAGCATGCCACTTACAACTGACCGTGGGAGAAGTAGCTTTCTCTCAAGTCTACTCTCACCACCTTTAGAGTTTGACTTTGAGCTTTGTTTATGGTAATGGCGAAGCAGACTTTGATAGGAGCATGCACTCTCTTGAATTCGTAGGGGAAATTTGATGGTTTTAGGGGAATCCTAGGAATAAATACAGGCTCTTCTCGAGAACAACCGGTCAGTATTGTTGCCTCGATTACATTGCGATGCAATGCTTTCACTTGCAACATCAGGACAATTCTTCATGCAGGACAAAGTATTTTATATGTATAGATTAGATTTTTTCTAAAACGAATTATCTAAGTACACGAAAGTTTTCCTACTCCAAATATGATTTAAGTACCTTTTTTTAAGGTTTTAAAGCAGCAAACAGACCGATGTTTGAATGTGTTTTATATTAGCGTAAACATAACAAACTAGACCACAATCCACGTGATGGTAAGTAGATGATTTGGCCCATAGACATCTGTCCATCCGAACCCCTAAGAACTAAAATCGAATGCCTCGTTTCCGATAAAAGTGTCTCGTGTTCTCTACACTCACCATACGAAATACAGTAGCATTAAGCTGCTAAATTACGTTGGTATTCCGTGGGAGCGTGTTCATTCCCATCTTCTGTTTCAGTTTCCGTCCGTCGCCTCTTAACACACCCACGAGATGATATGGGGCAGTGGGTATTCTTATACCGCCACAGTAACTGAAACTGAAGGAAACTGAAACAAGAGATGAGCTTCAGTATCTTCATAATAACCCAAAATTATAAAAATTAGCGATTGTTAACCCGTTCGCCAAGCGTGGCAACTATGGCAAAATCCCCCTTAAGAGGAAATCTTTAAGTGCGGCCTATGTTCAGCTGTGGACTTTTATAGACTTTGATGGTAATGGTAATGGTGGCCTTTCCTCGATCGAGTCAACCCATTCGTGATACAACCATCATACAACTGCAGCTTCGCTCTACGAAATGTGTTCAAGGACTGTCTTTAAAAGGTTTTAATTCCATAGACACACTACTTTCCTCATCAAGCCTCAGCCTCAGCAATTCCAAGCGCGCAGTAAATATCAACACTTAAAGTTCCAGTTGACGATTTCAGAGGTGCCGGTGGAGATCTAGTTTGAGTAGCTTGAGTACTATAAAATTTATAGCAGATACTTAATAACTATTGAACTCCCACAGTTCTTCACTTTTTCGTTGCAGTCTATCAAAAGACCGTTGTTAAACGCAGGCCTCCCCACATTGATTGCTTTATAGGGGGAATATTTGCAATAGTTACCACGCTTGGCAGGCGGATTTCAGATTTTTATTATTTTTAGTCAATATCAGTACTATGTTGCTGACATCTTCTGCTTCAATTCCCTCCGTCGCCGCTTACGACACTCATCATTCATGGGTATGGAATAGTGTATTATCTTACTACTTGACTGTAATAAACATTATCATTTAATTTTCAGTGATAATTCGTGTTGGTGGAAATAAAAAGGGCATTTTCACACGATCGAGACAACCCAAAGCTTCAGCGCATCACTTGAGAGCGCGCTATCTCGCTGTCGCAGCTTCTGATGCCGGCACTGCACCTCCAGACTCACTTTACATATCAGACTACAAATCGGCTCATCATGAAGAGTTATAGATTAAAATGATCGGTTCCACCATGTATTACGTGCAAAAATTAATATATTTATAACTGACCACCGAGCAAATACCATATTTAATTTGTGTTATAGGCTTAGGTATGTACCTATGCTCTTTACAGGAAACTGTTTATTTAGGTTTAAATAAGACATAAACACTTATGATTTTAATTTGTTTAAAATATAAACTTTTTAATTGAAATAATAAGTTTAATGTTTATACATCTGTTGAATATATTTTATGAAATACCGCGATTCTTTTCGTGTTACTCGTTTTAATCGTAAGGAACTGCCTAGAGATTTTTTGTTTCTGTATGCGTTGCGTGAATTTAGTAATATAGCTAGAAATACCTAAATTGTTTCGATTCGTACAAATATTTTTTTTTACTTTTAGATTTAACATAACGCTTGGTATTAATTTATTGAATGTGCCATATCCTGGCAAAATGACCAACCCACTTTCAATAATTATATAATGCTAAATAATTATATATTAATAAACTACTCGACAAAAGCCAAACTTGTACTATTTTAAAGTTATAATCCAAAATTTCTGTAAGCATCTCTTATTAAAAAGGTTTTATGGTTTCCTCAATAAGTCTTTTTTCCGTCTAGCAATCCTTCTGTTACCACAACTACGAAATATTAGTTTTAAAACGGGTTGTACTAGTTTATATAGACTTGCATTGAGATTCATAACGCACTTCCATCACGCTATCGGCGACTTGACTGACGTTTGTGTATGAATGAACCTTAAATCAAATAAAGGCAGGATGGAAGTCTATGTTTAAGTATGTACTTAATATTTTTCATGAAAATAGTCCAATAAAAGTACTGTACTATACCGTTATTTGACAGTTATAAAACTTAAATTTTTTAAAGAATATTTTCAAGCTTAGTGTTTAAGTCACGGAATTTGTTTTTATGACTTTTAATATTATATAAAAAAGAAAACTTAAGGAGGTAAATGTGTTTAAAATTATATTCATGACAAAGTACAATCAAGTTTATGTTATTAACGTGTATCAGTAACTGACTCTTCTTTGTAAGGAATTGTATGTCCTGTCGTGATATATGTATAGTACATTTTATCTTGTTTCTAAATATTATGAGCATAATAAAGTACAAATATAAAAGCATATGTTTTATTTTAAATACAAACACACAACCGTTTACACGTTTAAGTTGCAAGTCTCACCCCCCGAAGGATTTTTAGAAGGGATTACCGTTTCGTACATTGCCGTCTCAAACATATCCACGCCGGTTACTGAAATCAGCGTTATGTTAGTTATCACGTACTGCGATTGCCAATTGTGGTGCTAAAACAAGCTTTCCTTTTCATAAAATTTTAAATTTTTCCTAACTTGAGTGACTTTCCTTGAGTGTTTTACTACATAACTTTCGTCTATGTCACACCTGATCTGGTAGTTATTAGAAACACTACGCTGTTGACTAGTTTACCCTTAAAATTATACACTATGTAAGACCTACATTCCAGCGATAGGTTAACCGACCACCGACCGGAAGCATTCGCGGAATTAGGACACATCTTGTTGGCACGCCAAAATCCGAAAACAAATATGTAGGTACATCCACAGTGCGATACGACATAATATGGAACTGAGACGTGGTTCTTCACTGCTGGCCGTATGAGGCCGTATGGCTCAAGTTCACTCAGCGAGCTATGGAGAGAGCTATGATCGGACTTTGATAGACTTCGTATTCAGGTTTCTTTTCTATGTAAATGTAAATGGAAAGATCGGCAAGAACTGCGTCATGCGTGAATGGTTAAGATAATTTCGATCGACGTAGTATTAGATTTCATGATGAGTACTGTCTGGTCAGGAGTACACATCACTTCAGTTTCAGAGTCACATGAGTAGATAAACGGAACAAAGATCATACAACCGCGCGAATCGGTTGCATAGTGCAAACACACGGGGCGTGTGTGCCTGACTGGACCACTATGCAGTAAGTACGCGTGTTAAGTATACATAAAAAGGTAAAAATGTGAACTACAAGGTGGCCCATAAGTCGATAGAAATGTAAATTTCGAATAAAATACAAAAGGCGCGCATGAGTGGCGCGCGCGGTGCGGGGGAAGTACCGACGGTTTCTGGGAATTCACGTCGCCATGGAGCGTTTCACCGGTGCGGACCGTGCATTTTGTGTGCGCGAGTTTTATCGAAACAACGATTCGGCTACCATTGCGCGGCGTAAATTTCGAGAATATCAGAATTTACGCAACTTTAAAGACATTCCAAGTGTTCAAACGATTAAGAACTTCGACGTTGGATAAACAACGGTCAGGTCGACCAAGAACATCACGGACGGAAGAAAACATCGATGTAGTGAAACACTCAATTCGTGAAAATCCTACCCAGTCTACTCGTAAGCGTTCCAGTGCATTAAACTTACCCAGAACATCGTTACAGCGAATTTTAAAGAAAGATTTACATCTTCACCCATACAAGATTCAGTTAGTACAGGAATTAAAAGATACTGACACTATCCACAGACTAAATTTCGCAAATGAAATGTTGAACCGCTTTACTTCGTTTAATAATGTGTTATTCTCTGATGAGGCTCACTTTCACATCAACGGCCATGTCAATAAGCAAAATTGTCGCTACTGGAGTTGCGAAAATCCAAATCGCAAACATCAAAAGCCCTTACATAGCCCTAAAGTGACAGTTTGGGCGGCTATGTCAGCGCATGGCATTATAGGCCCTTACTTTTTTGAGGACGGCAGAGGCCGCGCGCTTACTGTTACTTCACAACGGTATGTAGCTATGATCCAGGACTTTTTTACACCAGAGTTGCAGAATTTTCCAGGCTTCAATACGCGGACCTGGTTTCAACAAGATGGAGCAACTGCCCATACCTCTAACGTCGCTATGCCGGTCGTCCGTCAACTTTTCCCTAATAAAGTGATCTCTCGAAGAGGAGATATTCCTTGGCCACCACGTAGTCCAGATCTGATCCCAATGGACTTTTTCTTATGGGGTTATCTTAAGACTAAAGTGTGCGAAACCAACCCGCGGACAATTGACGTCCTGAAAGAAAATATCCACAGAGAAATGGCAAATATAGCTTACTTGCCGCGCAGTGATGGATAATTTTAAACGTCGCTTACAGGAGTGCCGCGATCGTAACGGATTACATTTAGATGATGTAATTTTCAAAAAATAATTCCCATTTTTTGAAAATTACATCATCATTTATAAGGATTATGACAAAATAAAAACCTTTTTCATAATGTCATTAGTTTTTTTTTAATTATTTTTTTTACATTTCAAGGGACTTATGGGCCACCCGGTATTAGAGAAAATGACGAAAAAAGTGCTTCGATATTGATATAAGTCTCGAGTTATTTTGATCGCTTAGGCTTCTTGAATTCTTAGTTCTTCTGAACTTGAATGACTGTCGTCATCGACTGTCTGCCAGTGGCGTAGCTACCTTGGGGCTAGGTGGGGCAGTGCCCCGGGGGCCCCAAGCTCAAATGGCCTCGGCCTCCATGAACGACATTCAAAAATTATATAATATCCTAGTTGATCAAATAATTATTATTTTTAACTTTTTGTCCCCTGAACAACAAACCTCGAACTTTCAAACTGAAATCACAAAAATTTCTTCCTCCTACAGAACAAAAACATCATTGTTAGAATAGGTTCGTTTGTAGTGCTTAGACTCCGTTTTAGTGTGTAAGTACATATTACGAGTATATTACTAACTGTAATCTACTTCTCTACTTTTTAATTTTTACTTGTCATTTTTATTTCGCCTGGTATGGACCAACATTGAAAATTATCCCATGGGATCCTTTTAGCGAGATTAAAATATCATAAGTCCTTCCCAGGTCGAGCTCTATCTGTGTGCAAAATTTCATACAAATCCATACATCAGTTTTGACGTGAAAGCGTAACAAAGAAACAAACTTTCACATTTGTATACAAATTCAAGACATTTTTGCCAAAGTTTAATTACATTTAATAATTATTATAACATACAGAATGATTTTTCACCGTCTGGAAAAAATAGAATGTAACAGTTGAACGGAGTAGAAGCCTATGGCACTGATATTTTACATTTTTTTTTGTATATTGATACATTTTATATCATAAAAAATATCAATCAATAAATTTTACTAATTTGAAATAAACTTTTTTTAGGCAAATGCAGTTAAATTTTTTTTAGTTTTATGCAAATGCAGTAGGATGAATTGTTTTCGTGTATTTTTGAATATTCAGAAATTTTATATATCAGTTATAATTTACAAAGTTTTCGAGGATAGCTCCCATTCCAGTCAACAAAACACCATATTATTTTCCAGATGGTAAAACAAAGTCACGTCAAGTTCGATAACTTGTTGCCATAATCCCGTTGCTGTAGAAATCTTGGGATTTTTGATCAAAAAAATGCGACTAGTAGTTTTGACAGTCCTTTCTTGATGTTAACCTAGCACTACCCAAAGAATTCTAAAAAGACCGAAGCAGATGAAAATCTGAAGTTGCAAGGTCAGAACTATAATGATGGATACATTTACACCTCTCAAGCTCTCTAAATGTTTGCTGAATGGTCAAAGATGTGTGTGGTCTGGATGTATCATGACGAAATACCACGCTTTTATTGTTGATCAATTCCGGCTGGTATTTTCTCAATTTCTTGCTTGAGTCTCATTAGTTGTTGCCAGTAGAGATCCAAATTGGTGGTTTTGCCCGGCGGTAAATGCTCATAATAATAAACGATGCCCTTCCGATCCCACTATACAAAATGTTTTTTACTTTTTATTTTGTCTTAATGTCCTATAAGTATTGATATTAAAACCAGCCAGATACAAACAGTACAACCAAAGAGATTTTTCTTCAATTTTATATAAAAAATACGAAGAAACTTTTTAATATAATATTTTAGATAAAAACTTTGCACTCCCTTTTTAAGAGCCTAAGAGTAGATTTTTGAAGAAACAAAAAATGTGTGTGTCAATTTTATTATTTTT